TAATTTGTTAATATTCCCCGAAAACTCGGCGAAGAAATTATTTCCCGTTCACCCCCGCGTCTGCGTCGAACTTCCGGAACAACCGTGCTTCAATTATTCCCGCGGGGGATTCGCTTCGACGGTCAGGACGACGTGTCCATCCATTCCAGTACAGGTTTTTTCGACCGACGTACCATCTGGGCAGATGCAAGAACGGCCGCTGGAATTTCATGAAAGAAATATCGCGCGAGTGAATTGCAGGCTCGCCCGAGATCGACGGAATCGGAATGCCGTCCTGGCGATCGGCCCGTGAAACCGTGCAAACCACGTAAATTCTCATTTCGAATTTTAAAAGATCCCCACGGCACCGGCGAACTCGAGGCACTCCACGAGGCTCTCAAACAACAGAGTGCCATCGTCGCTGGAACAACAGCTAAGATCGTTAACGCGCGGCTCGTAGCCCAAGGCTGAGAGTAGCACCTTTTAAGAGAGCATGAATATAAAGAATGATTAGGTTTCCGCTTAACCAAATTAATTCTCCTTTAATCTCCGAGGGGTACTTATTGATCTTCGATGTACACACTTAGAAGTTCGAGGCTCGGTTAATAGAATTGCCGTGTTTAACGCAAACGACGGACTGGTTACACGGAGTAACGGGCGGCAGATAAACTTTTCTGTTTAGGAGAGCCGGGAGCCAGGTTAATTCAATATGGCCACGCTCCTTGGATAATGTCCAAACCGCGGAACGAGCGGAGCCCCTCGAGTAAGTAGTACGAACCAAGATTCCACCCGGCTTCATAATATCGAATACTTTAAGACAAAAAAAAAAAGAGGCCAGTTTTTCGCGCAGCGGACGAATAAAGAGTGGAATTAGGATCCTGTGTAAACTTTTCATGTAGTGATTGGATAACAAGTTGTAACAGGAATCGAAATAGTGGACGGTGGGACTCGATTTCTCCGATATTGACCTCCCTTTGAGAGAGCCGCATCCACCAAATCACGTTTTTTTTTTTCACGCACTAATAGATGTACCGTACGTGAAACAAATCTATTGGAACACCACTGTATCAACCGCGACTATTTCCATCCCCTGTTCAAATGCTAACCAGCGGAAACTCGGTTTATTAAACTCCGTAACGCGTGCTCGGTTTGAGAAATTATTGGACCGGCACCCATCTAATTTCGTTTATTATTTCCCGCGCCCTATAAACCTTCCATTCGAGCCGATAAGACTGTTATTTCGCTAATGCAGCACGCACCGCGGTACGTAATCAGTATTGATGGAGATCGTAAGCTAAATGCGCTTTCCACTGAAACAAATGTCCGAGGCATTTGTAATGTCCGCGGAAAAATGCGGCTGGAACACGGCCAGGCGCGCAGAATTTCATGTACGGTCGTCCGGAGTATTTAACTGTAAAATATAAATATGAACGTCTACGATGACGGCTGGCACCGTGCGAATTCGTTCAAGGAATTTTTATCACCGCATCAACTCACGGTAAATATACCCGCGTATTTTCGTTCGCCGATGGACGGAAACAGCGTGGATTTTATTTAAGAACCGGCAATTAACGAAATCCGTTCGCGCGGTCGCAATTCACTTCTATTTGACGATCCTGCCCATTGTTAGTTGATTAATTTCACGCGTTCACTTCCGTCTCTTTTATGTACGACCGTTCGCTCGACGGCGGTATAAGACTCGCTTATGAACCCGTGCTGAGTTATGAAATCGTTTAACGGATATGCTTCCGGACAGAATTTCGATTCGGACTTGCCGAGAAATGGAGGGGAAAAAAAAAATGGGCGAGGGTAGCCTGTAAGCTATCGGACCGGTGGAAATTCATGGGATGGCGTGCACCGAGCGCGCGGCGTTTTTCAATTTCGTGCGGAAACGTTCGTGCGTGCCGCTGATAAAACAACACGAAAACAAGGACGGTCGCGAGGCCGTGCAGGAGGCCTCGTTATCGGGATCAATTTCGAAATATCGAGAATCTTGGCGTGTCGCGGTCGTGTTCGACGGAAAAACGGGGTCGACGCTTTCTACGCTCGGAGACAAACGTTTACTTGGCTGCCAAGCAGCTCGACGCCTACACGATTCCCCGTGCGCTCACACATGCCGCGGGGCACGTTATCGAGACTGGTTTATCGCGGCCCTACCCGAGACTTATGCGCGTCCAGCGAATTTTACGGTCTGTAATTGTCGGCTACCCGATACGCTCCGTTCGGAAATTAGCGGCTGTTGTCCGTTTACCAACGATTACAGCCGTACCGAAACTAACGACTTCGTCCCGCCGTTTTTCAGCCGGGTAACCCCGATTTTGTCCGCGTTTTTACTTCGCCACTCTAATGTCCAATGCACGAATTTCGCCCAGCCGAAAAACCTCGTTAACCAAAAACTCGACGGGTTTTCGGTAGACTGGAATTTCGTTTAAATCGTAATTATAAATATACGTACGAATAAAAATGATTATTTTTAGTGACGATCACGTGTTCCGTTGGTTCTATTCTGAGCGGAACTAGGGGATCGAGATGGGTACATTCGGGCTTTTCAGCGAACGATCGGGGCTGCAGGTAGGGTGTCGTTATCGGTGGGTTCACGTGCGAGCTGATGAATGGTCCCGCGTCTGCAAAGGCACGGTCGTCACGCGAAACGTTATTTATAACGTTCGCTCCAAAGCTTATACGTCAGTCAGTTCAGTTTTTTGAATGAACGCCTAGCTTCTGGGAAATGACTGCGGGGATCATTCACCCGATCTCCACTTACAATGCCACTTACAATTATACGACGTACTGTTAGGGATGAACGCGAATTGGTCGAGAAGACCAGAGATGAACACTGCGAAATTTCGGGTAGCGTTTTTCCCCGGGGATGATTTACGAATTTGCCATCCGTCCGAATGAATTACGCCGGCGCCGGGACATAATTCTCGGCCTTAACGCGTGCAAGCTTGCACGTGGCGAACGTGTATTCATTGCCCGAAAAGCACAAGTTATTATATTAGTGTCCAACGCGCGGGAAATTTCCGTCGGAATATTTCACGAACCGTGGCTGTTACAAAGTAGATTTCATCAAAGTTTCGTGGATGGTTGTTAAGCTGAAGGCGCGCGTAACGCGAGCCCACCCGACAGGCTCGTTTGTTTCGCGCGGGTGTCTTCGAAATAATGCGGCTTCTTTGCATGCTCCGTGAACCGCATACGGTAACTCGCGACGATACCGTAAACGGGTCTAATGGCACTGGCTGTACACGCGGTTGATCGCGCGTGCAAAATTAACGTCTCCGGCGGATTTTTCAACCTGTCGCCTCGTAACAGACTCTCTCGTTTTATCAATCGCGAAACGCGAGCGCACACCACCCGGAAGGCAGCGTTCCCGTTCACATGCGACGGCCAACAGGACTCGATGACAAGTGGAACGTACCACTGCGGATCCGGTGGAATTATTTTTACAGGCCAGATAGGGTGATCGAGTACGGCTAATTGTCGACGATTGTCGGCGTGGCGTGTAATGCTTGTCGTTATACTTGCGTGCCCGCCTTCGACTCGTTCTCCTAACGACGCGCGCTAATAGCGTGCTCGTGCGATCTCCGCAACAGATTTATGTACGCGAGCAGGCGAGCGACGACAAAAACAGTCTGCTGTCCGCGGTGAAAAACATCGCTTTTAAAGTTTCCTCGAGTGCGTAAATACCTGTAGAGAGCGCCGGGCGTTCGACTTTTTCCCCTGCCCGAGCAATCAATCACGGGTTCGTTAAAAACGTTTCAAACAAAATAGCCTTTCGAACAGTGGAACAACTTCTTAAAACTCTGGACTTCGTTTTCGGTGAAGCTCTTTCTTCAGTCGATTTTGATCCCATCGTTTGAAACGCTTTTCAATTTAAGAATTCACTCGTTGCAAACTTAATTAGCAGAAAAGATTCCGAAATTCTGACATTCTCTACGAGATTGGCTCGACGACAGAGAATATTTAATTCAAAATATTACGACGTGAGGGGATCTTAGAATCACTTTGGATCGCGTGCATATTTTACTACCATAAGATTTCATTGACTAAACTTGGAGATAGTTTCGAAACTATTCGTCTTTGATGTAATTTTTAAGGATACATATTTTGGGTCAAACTTTAGGTTTTTCCAAAACATTATTACTGATAAAAAAAAAGATGGAATATAAAATGTAATTCTGTTAAAAGAGGGAAAAATTCTGTAAAAACTTGGAGGGTTTATGCCTCTTAAGAGCAAAGCGTGATTAATAAATTATATTATTTTATATATTCAATGAGTACAGTCTTATTTTCTCACCTCGCCCTACCATTAAACTCTAATTCTTCCTGTTCTTATATTTATTATAATTAACTTCGCGTAATCAACTACTGAAACTGTACTGCTCGTTTAGATCTACATTTTTACGTACATAAAATATGGTTCTTGCTAAATAAATTATTTCACTAAAGTATGATTTTTTATCACGCGACGATAATAAATTTTGAGTAACAAAATGTTTCATGGGAATTCAGCCCGTAATTCGTTTCGACGCTTGGTCCGCGGATTATGAAACGAAAAGACGTAGTCGGAGTTGTCAGCGCGCTGTCTCGATAACAGACATCCCGGTAATTACGCTGTTTCCTTATTATTGTCGAGTCGGCCGAACCGCATTAGCATATCGCAGCCGGGTACTCGAAACGAGGAAGGTAACACGAATCCATTCAGCCCTTATCGTGGCGTACGGATCCGGATGGACACGCGGCTGAGCCCCGTCCCCATAGATTTTATACTCCTTGCACGCTATTAGCCACACTTTCTGCGTCGTGCGTCGCGACGCGCGGGCTACCCTTAGGACTACACCTACGTTGACCTAACCGCGTGTCGATGAGGGTTGCTCGGCACGTACGTGTGCCCGAGAGAGGACCTTTACATGCGCGCGTGCCCCCGTCCGTGGACCCTCTGCGCGTTCTTCCACCATCACGGGAGGTGGATCGGAAACGCGCATGCTCCCACGGCCGAGAATCTCCCCAGTCAGGGTAAATCTGCCACCGGATCAAGACGTGGTGCGTGTCGCGTCGTCCTATATACCATGTCGTGCACACAGGCGCACGGTTTTTCTTGAAAGAAAACGAACCGAGAGACCCGATCGCCCAGCTCGGTGAACCGCCGCCGTGGAGATGTTCGAGGGAACGTTCGACCAGACTTGAACGTCGTGAACAAGTGTGGATTGTGTGCGACCGGGTTTTTAATTATGCCTCGATCGGACTGCGACGAGATCGTTCCGCGAGAAACGCGCACGTTTACAATCCCCGATACTTTCGGGTGACTCACTATAAAACACAGATCAGTTACCCTGTGAAAGAGAGACTTCGCGAGTGTATGAGAAGATTTCTTTCTTGAACGACAGTGAAGTGTCCCGGGGGTCGGCCGACGTCGTCAGCGAAAGAAAAACAATTTACAGGGCCGATACTGGTGATTAGAAGTTGTCAGCCGGGACGCGTGTAACATCCGCCGAGACGACCTGACCGTCGCAACAATCGACACGGAAGTTTCCCGGTGTGACACGGTTACGGGCAAAGTTTCGGCGTAAACGTACCCGACGGGTGTTATCTTTCCGCAGGGGTTGGTATCGTTGAAACTTTCCGCGGCGCAGGGTGTGTGTGCACGTTTTCGGTTGGTTTCGCGCGCGCGAGAGCCCGTCCTATGGAAAATTCGCGCGAGGACAATAGGCGGCAGGAGAGTAAGCGCGGGGAGCTCGCGACAATTGAAATCGTGTTGATCACCAAAGTTCGAACGTCCGATTCCTCCCCGGGTGTCAATTGAAAAACGCGTAGTCGGGGGGGAAGGTGTCGTTTCGTTCGAGTTTCGAGGATGTCGGCGTACGGCCGATAAGGATTTCCCGCTTAAGTGTCAGTATGTCAGTGGGTGGACGGTGCGCCGTCACCCAGTGAAGAGGATGTGAATCGGTCCGGTATCAAAGTGAACGCGGCATCAAACAGTTGCTGACATGGCTTTGAGGTGGCAGGCGAGGCTGTCCATTGCTGCCATACTCTTCATGTGTACGGAAGGTAATTATCAATCAGTCCGTCGGCCGCCGGAAACGATGACGCTGCACCCGGTTGGTGTTTAAATTGAAATCGCTCGACCGATTCGAGTTTCGGTCCCAGCGATTCCGAGTAATCGCCCCGCGTCTAAACGACGTCGGTGGCCGTTCGATCGAAAACTTAGCGGCCATCGAGCGGCAAAATGGCACGGCTAATGGAATTACAGACGTGCATGCGTGCGTGCAACGCGAATTTATCGTATGCATTATTCATAAGTCCGCCGTCTGCCGGCCGAATGATACGCGCCGACTGACAGAAAGCTTTTCCTTTCCGGCGCGAAACGTAACGCGATCGTCTGGTCCGAACGTGACCGGTTAATATCGATCACCTAAACTAATTAACGCGGCGCCACGATACATGTACCTACGCTGATACGTCCTGGTTCTATCATCTCGGGGTCAAACGCGTCTTCCGATACCAGAGGACGAGCGACGAGAGCTCGCCACCCTTTTTCACACCTCGTTTACAGCATTGTCGTCCCGGTCGAACAACTTCGCCAATTTCGTTCGACGCCCGCTGGGCAGACTTCGGCCGCGATTCAACTTTCCTACGGTAAATTAAACGTTTGTCCTTCGCCCCGCGGAACTTTCCTCGAATTACCCGAGAATATTCTTAGCGCGGATATAACTCGACTCTTTTTCTTCCCAATTGTCTCTGCTAACTTGGTGCCGTCGGATAATGCAGTTACGAGCTACTTTCTACTAACGCTAATGCGTCTGGTGTTAACGCGCACGCGGCATCCTGTAACGCTTATCGTCGTTAGTATAAAATTCACAAGTAGACTAAAAAAAAAAAAAGAAGCAGTGCAGCCTCGTTATGAGAAATGGATTCGTTAATGTATTCGCGGATTAATTCGTAATTGGGTTTTAGCGGTGAATTTTAATTCGAGTTATAAGGAAATATTATACCGGCTTCCCGTTAATTACGAGCGGCTACCTCATTAACGCGCTCGCCCGATTGATGGCGGCGAGCTTCTGGAAAAGTTTCCGATGGTATCTGCTCGCTTGTCATCGGAGCCACTCCGCGATGAGATCCGTACGAGCCTTCTTGCCGCAACGACGCGGTAATAAAGTTTATGCTAATAGCGCGAGTAAAATCCCATGTATTTTATATAGGTCGTTACTTTTACGCACGGATGCCACGCTAACGTGGCCCTGGACAACGAATAAAATTCATCGCGTGATAAGAGCCACTCGAAATAGATAAAATTTGTAGAAGAGCGATCGGACGCGTTCTATGTCACGTTTTATATAATATGTCCTCAACATCTATTGCGATTCTAATTTTGATAAAACTATAGATTTATTAAAGAGTTTTCAATAAAAAATACATACGTAAATAAATAAATAAATAAATAAATAAATAATTTGGATTAAAAATTATTTATAAAAATATTATGAACGATTATTTTCGTTGGATTGCTTACACGTGACAGAGAAACAGTTATTTATGTCAGTGAGGAGAAGTTGACGGCGAGTGGCATGATAAAAAATGGTAACCTATTTCTGCTGAGATGGTTTCTTCTGGCCGGGCCACGCAAACGTCTCTTCCACTTGCAGCAGAACGGCGTGCGTCTTCGTGTCTCCACACGATTCCGCCGTGGCGGAGCTATTTCTTTTCATACGGGTGACCCGGGCAAACAGAGAACTTTTGGGAATCTTATCTTATTGCTCCGCTTCGTCGCCGGAGAGTTTTGTAGGTTTCGGTGCACGCTATCGAACTTGGTCGACGAAGGAACCATTGTGATTCCTTTATCTCGATGATAAATCGGGCCAGGCCCCTCTCCGCCCTGACTACCGACCGCCCGCGCGATTCAGCCCGACCGATCGTGACTCTCATTCTTTTGCATTATGATCATTTGTTATAATTTTCGAACTGCCGACCTCCCATTGTGATACATCCCGGAGCCGTAAAGCGTTTTATATTCGAACAGCTACTGTAACGTCTAAATATCTTGGCGAATCTTTTCTCAGAGATATTTTTATAGCCCAGCACGCGAACCACCCTTAGCTTCACATACTTAAAAAAAAGTATTTATTTCTGTTGTTCGAAAATTGCATTAACTCGGAAAAAGCTACTGTACAATTAGTGTGTCTATAAATTCGAGAATAGCTTGTTTCTTGGTCGCACGTACCGAGTGCATTGGTCGTAAGACTGTGTCCTGGTAAGGAATGATTTTAGTTGGCGGCGCATTAAAAGAGGGAAACGGGTCGTTTACCAGGATTAACAAAATTGAAACTGTAAGGTGTCCGTTTCACTTTCGTGGAATCCCTTGCAGAAACGGCAAAACCTTTCTTCTAGATCCCTTTGAAATATATTACTACCCTTCTTGCCAGTTCTTATCTGCCGGAAGGGTTTCGTGAACGGATCGCGCGGCGAGCTCGAGCGCGAGATAGCACAGGAAAATTGTGAACATCCGTGTGATGAATAAAATAATTTCACCAGCAATTTAATGATTTACAAACAGAATTCAGTTCGGAAGAAACTCATTTTCACGTTTTAGAAAAATTGTACAACTTTTTACGAAACAGTTTGAAGTTGATTATGATACGTGTCAAATTTTGATCAGAGAATTAAGGATTGATTAGCGGGAAAGTTAGAAACGTAGAACTTTTTCCCGGGGCACATGATCGCTAATTTCATATTCGACCAGCGAACGATGGAGCGAAAGTTTCACCGACCAATCAGGAAGCGCGATATTTTCAAATAAACTTCCTCGGATGCACCTGGCAGGTGTTCCGCGACTACGAGTTCCCCGTCTGAAAATGGGGAACTTCGTTTCCCTCAAATCGTTTTATGTTCCCGACGACCGGGAAGTATGACGAACCTTGAAATAACTTCTCGCGATAATAAAACGGCGCTTCTTCAACCGCCTGAGAAATTTTTTCCTCCCCGAGTCCGTGGCCCGAGGCACGGCTCGTTACTCGGGCGGATCGGCATCTCACTACACCTCGAAGGAAACGCGACCAACCGACGAGAACAAGAAAATAGCTGTGAATTATTTCACGCTTCCAGCGAATTGGTTTCTCTAATTTCGATTAAACAAATGGAAGAAGTTCGTCGGACGCAGCGTACGTAGGCGCGTGGCACACGTGCGCCGCGGCGCCCACGCGGGGCTTGTTACCCCGGGGCTCTCGTAGAGTAGGAAACATTAAGTTCCGGCGTGTTTTAATTACGAGCCTAAGCGCGAGCACCCTCGACCCGTTTAAGCGCGGGAGCTTGCGCCAGTCCTGCTGCATTTCCGTGTCACGTGACGAGTGACGATAAACTCACGAAATCATGGCCGTTCCATTATTTCGCGACGTGGCCCACTTGTCCTATAATGCATACGTCGTGTCGTTGCGTCGCGCTCGTTTCCACAGACGCGGTGGATCGACCTCCGCGGACCGGATTCACCGACGGAGAGAGGGAGGAGGCGTGGGGGTGTTGTAAAAAAAAAAAAATAGAGACGAGGAAGCTGGAGGAGGCTTCGAGCTTTAATTAATTGCTTTTATCTCCTGCCATTTTCTCAGAACGCTCTGCCATTTGTCTTCCTCAGCTTCTTTTCCTTTTGCCTGTTGCGACACGGGAGCAAAGAGGCAGCGAGCTAGCCGGGGCTATGAAATCTGATCTGAGATTGTTAACGGCGCTAATAGGACTGATGCTGCGCAGCTTACGCATCGATAAATTGCGGGGGCGATCTTCGACGTTTCGAGTTGCATCGCGAATCGTCTAATTACGACTCGAAATATTTATATTATTAAAAAAAATTGCGACGCCTTAGACTGCGGCCTTTACTCTTTTCGCTAGGAAGAAAATGAATCACGGTCCGGTGTGGCGAACGTTATTTTGTCTCGTCGTCACAATTACCGAGCCGGCGGAACTTCTGAATGTTAACGGAACAAATAACTCGGCTAGTTTCGGCCGGTATAAATTATAAAACCGCCCGCTTTATTGTTATTTAAATTTCGCCTTTTCACCGACAAAACGGATAAATTTAATTCACGTCGTCCGCCTCCGTACACCTACGTTTTTGTTATTATGTAAACACAATTCCCGCGGGACACGCGAGCCCGCAGTTTCGCGATATTCGCTTCCTCCTCGCGTGTTTCATACGTTTTCTATAAATCTCGTCGCAGCTCAGTTTCTGTCCCCCGCCGTGCAAGTATACACGGAGTAACATCCGAACGATTATTATATACGTTCGCCTAATCGATTGTGTCAATCGAGGCTTGTTGCCTCAACGTTCCGCGAAACTGGCACAGTTTTGATAACCGAGCGTTAAGCGTGTCTTCGCGTTCCATGTTTTCCTTCGCCGTTTAACGAAGGCACCGAGGCGGCGAGAGATAATGTAAATCGAATTCGTAGTTCCATTAAACGCTCGCAATAATCGGATGAGCGTGGTCTCTCTCGTTCGAGCACTCGACCGACCGGAACTTATCGCGGCGCATATATCAATATCATCGTCGTTTTGCTCGCGTCTTGCCCCCGTCCACAAATCATTCCGGGCGAAAGTTATGCAGACGCGCCCGCATACGTACATACCTACAGTACCTACCTACACCATCTACCTACCACGACGCTATTTGTTCCCCGCAATCTGCGGCGACGGGAAAAAATAACGCCGCGTAGCTAAGGAGAGACAAATCTGCGACGCAGTCACGCGACCGCCCCCGTGTGATTAAATTACATTGCCTATTTAAAAGATAAGGAGCCGGCCGCGTTATCGAACTTATTTATCGACCCGGGGCCGAGTTCTGGCGACAGATAAAGGGCCAAGGGGCGAGCTAGACCGATGTGCCCGGCCGCGGTTGCGCTTAATTCTCTGATTTACACTAAATACGCACGGAACCCGTCGGGGATAATTAACTGTGGCCTGAAAAGAACAACTTGTATTCATTTTTCCTGGCCGCGGGCCCAGTCCTGATTAACCCAGCGAATTTCTTCGAATGTTAATTCGACGCCAGCATGGCCCTACAGAATTCTGACGTGATTATTTTCGAATAATAAATTTTACTATTTTATTTAATTCGTTTATGAACGGAACGGAAAGAATGCGGCCCCTCGAAACGAGGAATGCCTCGGTAAAGGTCATTACCCTCGGTGGAGAAAGGACGGTCTAAATATTCAGGCGACAAAAGTCGGAATGCTTTTTACCTCGGGAGTGAACGGCGCGGCGCCGCCGGCTGGAACCGGGTCAGAGTCCCTTAAATACCTTAATCTCTAAACGCCGATGTGATTTGCGTGGAAATCCTCCGGGCCAGGGCGCCGCGGTTACGTCTGTCGTCTCGGGATTTTCGTTCGAAGGTAAATCCAATTCTCGCCGCGCTCAAGAGAGATCATAACAAGGGAATGGATTCTCGCGACTTGTAATCGTTTACGACATTCCGTGTGCGAGCGTATGTCTGCAGATTGCGGGTGTATCACCTCGACAGTGGTTGCGCAGTCGCAATTTCAAGATTAAGTCGAGTTAGCGAGTCGTTTGAGCGCCCCACAACTATTTGCAACATGTTTAGCTCATAGACAACGGGAGTCTCGAATGTAATAAGGTATTATAGGGTAAATCTTGTTAATCTACAATTTAGATTAAGATTCAGAATAGTAGAGAGTATTTAATCATTGCCGACTGACTCTTCTATGAGCAGTACTGACTCTTCGATAATGTATAAATGTAATATCGTCAAGCTTGAAGAGACGAGAACGATATCTGAAATTATTTTCTTAATCATAAATTTGATTCGCTTTTCCTCTCGTTGCCTTCGAGCATCTGAAATCTTCTCTATTGATACATATAACTCAGATCACGTTATTGTTATGACCAGAATATCCACGAAAGCAAATGAACTCAATTACTAGTATGGCACGTTTAATGACTCTAGTCACGTCGTTAGATGCAATCTTCTTACTTATTTTCTATCCACGTACCAATAATTTGTTATACATTTTTTCCTTTTTTTATAGAAGGAAATCTATCTATGCTTTTGTTCTACTGTTCGTTGTTATTTATTGTTCTATTTGGTATGAAGTTAGATTCTGTAACTCGTAAAATAAAAATGTAATTCTGTTTCCTTTTATTGAGTAGATTGAATAATCCTGATCCGTGTACAGTTCTCTAAATTCATTCGACTAACTAAACAGCTGGAATTCCTAAATAACTCGAACAATACAGCAACGAGTTGCTTAATGCAGCGGGGGAGCGAATGCAATTTGCGCCGACTGACGACTGTGCCCTCGCTGTGAGTCACCGTTCAACGACGAATGTCGACAAGTTCGATTATATCAGAAATCGGCGTGAATTTACGGTGGAAAGAATCCGCGACGAAACCGATCTTTTTTCCTTCGTGCCCACCTGAAAATGAATGGGCCGCAATTTGTCGCGGCTGCATTGGTTCATAAGTCATTGAAAATTGTCATTGCAATTTATCACGGCGCCCGCGGGAGTAATTTTATTTTCACCAGCCAGGAACTTCCAACGAGATTCGTCGTTATTTTCCATTAGCCGCGATTTACCGCCGATAAGGAACGGTAACCGCGCTCAATCATTCTGGCAATTACACTCGTCGCCCGTTAACTTTCTTTGTAAACTCGTCCGCGATCCGGCAACGCGGTTCTAACGAGTAAACAGAAATTCGTGACGGAACAGTGGTTTGAATAAGCAAGCGTCCAGTCGGGATAAAGAGATTTGCGGAGTATCCGCAAGGCACCTTGACAAATATCCGAAACAATTTTCGCGGATCATGGCAGGTCAACAATGATTCGGACGAGAGCTGCGTTCCGAAATTGAAATTCGCAATTCCGAAGAGACGTCGGCTGCGTCACGGCCTCGATTTTATAAACCGACACGTTTATATAGTCCATAACATTATACATATAGCTATCATACGTCTATAAATATTGATGAGCTTTTAGAGTAAAGTCGGGTACCTCGCGTCAGCCGAGATAAATTGTACGTGCCTAAAAGAAGAGCCTATATACTTTTTACCACGATCGGAAGAGGCTCGAGGACTGGACGTTGAGTCCATCAATTTTTACAGAAACGACCGCTGCATTTTCATCGCACTCTTCTCAAGTACACTCGGTATTTAATGTACGCGTCGCCTATGCGAGGAGCTCAACGTGGATTAGGGAGACGAGAGATAACGTTGGTATAGTAATACGTTAGTGACAGCCTGAAAGTCAATGTGCGAAAACGTAGTATGGGAGGGAGGGGATAGAGTTTCGGGAAGCCATAGCGGAGATTCCCTGGGGTGCGTGGAAAAGCTCGTTACAAGCTCCCGGAGCTTAGTTGTTGCTACAGAATTAATTAAACCTGGCGCGCGGTAAAGTGCATAAAATACCTAGAAATGATCCCGCGACGGATTTATTACATAACCATACCGCCGATCATCCACTACGACCGACTAAACGAATAGAAACATTAATTAATTAATAGATTAACATCCTCCCTTTACGATGACTCGTCTGCTCGCAATGATTATAATTAATATGTGATTTTCGATTGTAACAAGTAAAGAGCAAGTGGTTAATTATATTTTAAGCAAGTCATTGGTCTTTGTGTGTCTATATTGACAATTGAAAGCTGAATTCATTTGCGATGATAGAAAGCTCGCTATAAGTTAATTAACAACGTCCAACCGTTCGTATTATAACTGGTATTCCATATGTTTAAATCAAACAGGTAGAAGTACAATATATACTTCAGGCAATTTGGTATTTAATATCATTTTCGAGCAATATTAATATATAACTCGAATAATATCTATTCTTATGCAAAACAAATAATATATTCATATAAATTGTACATTCATACCATGAAATGTTTCGTAAAACGAGATTGGTAAATTATGTTAAGCTAGATTCAATAAAATAAATATTCATTTTTTAATAATGCGTTTGATTCATACTTTAAGTACCACAAAGAAGTAACCCTGCCTTTGACTCGATCACCGTCGAGCTTTCAAGTTCTCAAGGAAGCTTCTCTGTACAACGAACTCGTTTCCTCGACGGCGGTCGATTGAAAAAGTGATTTACGCAAGAATACACGCGGATGAATTAGCATAGGCGGTACGGGAGAGCCGAGGGCCCCGTTCATGTATATTAATAACCCGCGTCACCGCGTACGCATTTCAAGCGAGGGAACGTCTGTATCGCGGTTTCTTTCTGGCCATGATGGATCACGAGAAAAACAATGGAGGACGATACGAAACCGCCCAAGGCAATAGCCAAGGCTTTTCTCCCGGCCGACCTATTCTCTACCTAATTCACTCTTAAGCCAAAGTGTAATGAGCTCTGATCTAATCTAATTCCGTCCAATCTCCTTCCGGCTATAGCCACATCCCGCGGCTATTATGCTTCTTCAAGAAAGTGAGGTATAGCCACTTCGTGCGCGATCCCTATTCTTACGTTTAAGCAGCAGAGACACTCGAGATTCACCAGGTTTACAATCTTCCCATTCTGAGCGGCTCCGTTACATTTTTCACTCGATTCCGACGGTGTGCAACGATACTTTTTAAAACGCGCCCCTCGCCCCGTTGTAATTGGCTGTTCGCGCGCCGCAATAAATTCGTTGACCGGTTAATGGAGAAGAATCGAGGCAATTAGCATTAGCACTCGCGACGTCACGCATCAACGGCGAATTTAATAAGCGTCCCGATGTGTATCCTCGTCGAAACAGCCAGATTTAAAAGCCGATTTTTCCCGATAGTTGGACAATTTACCCCGTCACTCTGGATCAACGCGAAATAAATGTAGAACCGTGTTCCCGTAAAATCAATTACTCGGCGCACGCAGAACGGGGAATTATTTTGTCGTTCCATTTCCTCGTACCTCGTCCTTCCTCTTCTTTTTTTTTTTTTTTTTTCATTATTAAAACGCATCGACGGGGACTGGCGCACTCTTTGCGAATTCGCGCATCGAAAATTTCTTTTGACCGCGCCGAGAGCTAGTTTCACGGTCGTAAAATGAAGTCAGCGAGAGAAAACAAATGGACCGCCAGCGATTCACCGTGTATCGTGCAACGAGAGAGTGGCAGAGAATCGGAGAGATTAGTGCGCAGATAGCTGGACAGGGATCGATACATAGTAGATGAGAGAACTGGCTCTACCTGTGTGCAACACCGGTTTTCGTTGTTGTCATGCGTATCAACGTTTAAACCTTCCTCAATCCTTTTTTTTTTTCGTTGCTACAAATGATTTGGAAGCCTGGAAGCGAAAACCTGAGATTTTTAACGCTGCGATTGCGTCAGTATCAGCGTTTATTGCCCTCCGTCTCGTTCTACATCCTCGGCATCGTTGCTCGTTGCTTTTAGCCGACTTTTTTTTTTAATAGCTTCTTTGCACGCTGTCTTTCCCAATATTCTTTTGTCCGTTGCACCGTCGATTGAGCCATAACTTTATAACACCTTTGAAAGCGGCGGACTTTCGCTCCATCGGATTTCGCAGTCAAAGCAATTTCACGTCAAAAATATTCGTTTACCGTTTCAGACACATTGAGCATGGGAGACCGGGCGATGGACAACGCGGATCGACACGCGAGTCAGAGCAGACCGCGGAATCAGCTGCTGGTGGACCCGTCCAACTTGAAGCCGAACGCGGAGCCGACGTTCGACTACTCGCAGAACAGTAACGTCACGGCTCTGATCGGGAAGAACGCTTACCTGACGTGCAGGGTCCGCAACTTGGGCGACAAAACCGTAAGACCCTTTCACCCCCCGACGCTATTACCGTTACGCGAAATCTTCTACTCCGCCGGAAACAATTTCCAATCGCGAGCGAACATTTATTTCCATTCGGGAAGCGGGCATAACGGGAAAAATTGTTACGGCCGGCTTAATGTATCAGAAAATACCTGGATTCCCCCGCCAACCCTCCTGCCCGTCGTAGGCCAGTGGGGTTTCGACAAATTTGTGGCGGCGAGGTAATTACGACAAAGACCGGTGTACGCCCGTTGACTGAACGAGGGAGGAAATCCGGTCTTGGTAAAGACCTTAGGAAAAGCGATTTGCAGGAAATAATCGAGTTGCCCGGGTTCGATTGGACGTTAATCGACCTTCAAGGCAACTGGAAACTCAATTTTATCGCGAATCGCGGTATCGACGTTACAGGTACCGCTCGATCGAAAGTAACATCCTGCCGCTCCGGTTATAACGCAGTGATTACGTTCTAGAATTATTACACAGAACCGTCGCTATTCGTCTGTACATTATCTTGACTATTTCATAAACGGGAACAAAAACGAACCTGTTGGAAGATACACTTGTGTACGAACGCTTTTTGCGCTCCGTCTCCTCGATCAACTTGTCAGACCGTACCCTGGTTTAATTAATATCAAGAGCACAAAAGAAGCAACCGGGAAAGAAGAAAGAAAAAAAAAAGGGACACGACGAGAAAGAATGAGATCTGGGTCTGGAGATAAAAACGCGGCCGTTCAATTCCGGTGTTCCGTAGTGTGTAAACCGTATTAAGTAAATTCATTATACAGTCGAGGATCGGCGTGCCTTAATTTCATTCGTTGTCCCGCGTCACCCGTGAAATTCCATTTGCCCCGCGTCCGAATTGCCAGGTCACACGGATTTCCTCGATACGTGATTCTCGACACTTTGCATGCCACTCGGCGACTCTTTCATATATGTACATAATACAGTTCGCATGTGTGAATTTTACACGCATCTGCGATAAGGATCGATTTCCTTATCTTGGATTGAGTGTCGGCTAGAAGGATTGAATTGCACGTTCCAGTTTGCGTTCTTACGAATTACAAATCGCCTCGAGTCAACCTCGACGAAAAGGATTTCAATTTCGAATTCGAACGCCAGGTTCAAAGATTCGTTTTAATGTATCCTATGATGCTCTCACGGCTGATTTGCATTCGGTCATTAACAATTCAAATGACAAACGTGTTGGTACAGAGTCGCATTTACTCGCAAGAAATGCAACAGATTAACGTGCTCGTCGTAAAGATATAATAATTGCTCCACAGATACAACTAGAAGGTACAAAAGTAGACACGAACATCTTTGAGCAGGAAATTCTACTTAAAAAACGATTCGTCTGACATGTTTGATCATCGTAAACACATGAAAGAGTCTAATACGTAATCGAAATGTAAATTCAACAGGTTACTCTATATAGTTATGCCCCCTTTGCTCTTGTTACGCAAGAACATGCTAATTTTTACATAATCCAATAATTGAAGACAGAACTTCAATAAAAACAATCCTTCAGGCATTCAACAATTTGCAATGATAATAAAAAGCATCGATCATAAAAAGAATATTCAGTATCACAAACGTATGTGTGCGAATTAATCGAAAGATAATTATGTAAAAGCGTCTGTACGAGCTTTTAACGAATATTTAAAATATATATATAAATAAGCAAAGGAATTAAGCCAAAGGAAATGGTAGTAATACGAATTCAATGTAATTTCACTCACCGTTAACACCGATGTACCGAACCTTCCTCCATTTCCGTCGCAGTCATGCCTCTTCGATATTGAGTGAGGTTATGCTTCTTGATGATAACTGTCTTCATCTGAAGAAACAAGGAAAACTTTTGTTAGACGCATTCTCATTGCTCGAACATTGGCACAAGGGCTAAAGGACCGAATGTTCCACGACAAGGGCTAAAGGACCGAATGTTCCACGACAAGGGCTAAAGGACCGACAATCGAACAACGCTGACAGATAATCATTCGATACAAATGATTTATCAATTAATTGAGATTACATTTCAAAATACTAAGGTTTTCATCCGAGAAAACCATCAAAAAGGTTGTTAAACGCATTTTTATTGCTTACGGGGAGTGAAGATTGGAGGGAAAAGGGTTACAGGACCGAACGTTGGACGACGCCGGCAGACAATCATTCGATACGAATGAATTATCGAGAGATTATGTAAAACTATATGATAATATGAAACTATGTACCTTTTGGGACAAACTAATGCAGTATTTAGTAAAAGTAGATTCACTTTTGCAGTAATTTTTACACTTAAAACTGAATCTGAGACGGAGCTACGTTCCGCACTATGGAATGACGCTGACACCACTGCGCCATCTCGGACGGCGCTCGGCAACACCATTCAAATACGAATCGCGCAGAGAATAGCATTTTCATATTTAATATTTTAATACTTGTTATACTCATACTCATATACTCATACGCCGTTGTCTCTCCCAGTCGCATCGCTTCGGACCGATTGTTTCGAGGTCGTTGCGCCGGCGGAAGAAAACTCACTTATTATTCCCGGGACGAACGATTGGTCGTTTCTACCAAAGTCCATTAGCAGTTGCGTCTGCGTAGCAGTTTTGCTTAACGTTCGACATTCATCATTTTGGACGCGTTCCCGCAGTCTCGTTTCCCGCGGTGGTGTCTTGTTGGCTAAGTTTGGACGCGGTAAACTGTTTCTCCACCCGCAGTTTCGTACCGAGCGACTCGCCAGAAGCAAACTTACTTCTTCGTGTAAATACGCTAAGTGGTGCCAGCGTGTACACACGCTCGGCGCGCGTGCAAAGTCGCCGGAGACAGCTGCCTTTTCCGGTTTACATTGAGGAATGAATTACGGCCGGGATATATCGCCTCGAACGACGACCGAGGATTCATAAGCTTTCTGCCGCCGAACTTCCTCCAGCAAATGACATGCGCTTTGTGCAACCACCAACTTCCATCCGCGACCGATTATTAATGCCTCCGCCGTTGTTGCGACAGCCATTCCGCGCGTTCGTTTTTGTTCGACCGGGTCGATAATTGCTTATGCGGGTTAAACTTTTCAATTTGCATTTCGCGAGCAAATTTTCAACGATGTAATTAAAAGAATCGGAGCTCGTTATGCAACGAATAGGGAGTTTTATTAATGTCCGATTAAACACGAGGTCGTTGCTCGGTCCACCGCTTCAGAATACGCAGCCGGACGAATCGGTCATCCGATTACCGTTTCCCTTTTCGCTGCTAATAGTTCCGCCACGGAAAAGTCAATTTCTCGTTCCAATAGGCTATGAAATAATTTCTTCGGAGTAATCTCGGTCTTTCATCCAGTCGAGGTATCTCAACTGACCAGCCGAGCTTACGTGAGATCATCGCACGGGCAACGGTAAAAAAAAAACTAAAAATCATCGTCAGATTTATCGGTCTTCCTGCGATCGAAACGCGTGTACGTCGTCGTTTATTTTATTTCGTGAAGGAATCCAGTAAATTTTTAGACGTCTAGAAATCTGAGGAGTAGAGAAGAACAATGCGGAGGTCTGGAAACTTTTGTAACTCGGAGCGCCGGGAAATCCTCTTTTTGGGAAACGATCCCTGTGAGAATCGAAGAAAATTTTTCTTCGGCCCGACTTTCGGTTCGCCGTAAACGCGGGTCTATACGGTTCCCTCGTTTCGGGATTTCGGCGAACGCGACGTCGCCGACGGATACTTGGCGTCGCGGCAGCGTATAGACATCCCCAGAGTTTACCGGATTACTTTCCCATTCCCGAGGTAAGAGCCTCGCCTGGCTGTACGTACAGCTGATGAAATTGCGTCATCCCCGAAGACGTCGAAATTCATCGGGGGTCGAAGTTTAAGTGTCCCCTGCTCCGCGAATTATGCATCATACCAGAGGCCTCGCTGAACGTTTGCGAACGTCGGCACGTATCGGAGTCCACGGACCTCGCACCCCGGCTTACTGAAATATTTAATGCCGCGGAATGACGAGACGAATCTGAAATATTGATCCGCCGTCGACGTTACTCACGTCTCTCCAGAGTTTTCCCGCAATTTTTTTTCAAGATTCCCCGGAGTTACCGGGAAGCTAACGCCTCTAATATTCATAGACTCGACTTCGCGATTCGACTAGTTCATACGGTGCTTATTCCGAAGTGAGAGCTTCATTTTTCAGGGTACTAATTATTCCTTCGTGAATGATCGCGATGAGAATCAGTCGCCCAATGGATTTAACCATCGGTCCATCTGCCCCGATAACCGTCATTCACTCCTGTTTGAAATTCCGTTTGCAAAGGTATCCTGGGTGAGACACAGAGACATTCACATTTTAACGGCCGGGGCGTACACCTACACGAGCGATCAGCGATTCCAAGCGCTTCACAAACAAAATACGGGCCAAAACAGCGAGTGGTCTGAATGGACTCTTTGCATAAAATGGGCGCAAAAGAGAGACGAAGGGCTGTACGAATGTCAGATCTCTACTATCCCCGTCAAGTCTCACCAATTCCGCTTAAACGTCGTCGGTAAGTTTGACTCAACGATCTACATTATGCATCAACTTAAGCCATTGTCGACTCGACGAATCCCGTCCTTTATACCGTCCTAACAGCCACCCAGGAACGCTCCATCGTCTACGATTTTCGCGACTCAAATTGTTATCCATTATAATGGATAGTCGCTTGTTATTGGCAAAATGTGAAATGTGATTGATGAATCGGCGAGTGAATAGGCGGGCTGCGAGCAATATTTTTAATACATCAATCACGACCGCGTTCTTTCAATATTTGGCAATAAACAATTCCACGATTTAAATCGAAGCGAAACGAAACAGAGCTTGAAAAATCTTCAACAGGGATAACGAATAGAGTCGTCGTCGTCACCTCAAATTACTATAATGCAAGTGCGGTTTTCCGGTCGTCGAATGCTCTTGAAACGCTTCGCGAAATTATGATGCAACGGTATTAACGCGACGACATTGAGCCTTCCAATAATATCTTTGGGAGTGGGACTTGAGAAACTTAATTCTGTAGAGCGTGATACCATCGAGACCGGCCTCGTTATTTCAATTACAATGATCTTCGACTCCGATAACAAGTCTCGTTAATTTCCTAAGACACTCCCGTTCCTTCCAATATAAAACTTTTCACATTACTGTCAAATACCACGCAAACAACCTCGTACATATATTTGACCGTTGCAATCTTAATTAATTTCCCTCCGTTTCATTATACACGGTGGTCGTTTTAAGTCACTCATAGACGCTTCTTCTAATTTCTGTTCAATCATCTTAAGTAGCGAGTACAGATAGCTCATTGGATTCTGGACTCACTTCGACTCGAAGGACCAATTTGTTAGAAGGACCTAACAGGAGTCGAAACTTATTTAGAAAAATATTCACAATGCATGGAAAGCTTCAAAGACAGAATGTATGTACGTACCACGTTTTCTATGCGTGCGAAGTGAATCCGGAATCTAATGAGAACGCTCGTTGGGAGTAGAAGTAGTGGACGGGAAAAAACGGTGTCTATCTTTATCGCAGTACCGACGGCGACGATCCTCGGAGGTCCGGATCTGTACGTGGGCGCGGGGAGCACGATAAACCTGACGTGCGCCATACACTTCAGCTCGGAGCCGCCAGCCTACATCTTTTGGTATTACAATGAGAACGTTTTGAGCTACGATAGTCCCAGAGGCGGCGTCTCGGTGATAACCGAAAAGGGTGGCGACGTGACCACCTCCTGGCTCCTTATCCAAACTGCGCAACCCTCGGACTCCGGGGAATACAGATGCAAACCCAGCAACGCCGACACGGCGTCCATCAAAGTTCATGTGCTAAACGGTGAGTGGGAACACGCGCAGGTAATGCGCGATCTTGTACCCTGTCATCGTTGATCGGCAATCATCGACGGTCCATCGGTCTTGCCGACCGCAATTGCATTGCTCGACGGTTAAATAAAATTTCGGTGAACTGAAACCGGAGGGCCAGTGTAAATCACTGCGCAAAAACTGGGACGAATATTTGTAGCTCCGTCGATGTATTCACGTGTAACAAAAATCCCATCGGTCTAACGCACTCGGCAAAAAGGACGACAATATTTTTTAAACAAACGGCTTCGGTTTTTCGCGGACCGCGAGTTATTTACGACCGCGGTATTTACTCGGCGGAGTGAAACGCTCGCCTGCGATTTGCAAGCGCGACGGTAGAAAAAAAAAAAACGGGAATGATATAATTCGTAGTGGGAACGCCGGGCCGATTTCACGGATGATCGCGGGACCGTTTTATGGAACGGGCGTTCGCCTTTGCATAATCCGGGACGTTTTCTTAACCCGTTAATTTGGTCGCGCGCCGGGTTAATTCGGTGGCTCGGTTCCGTTCGCGAGCCAGCTGGAAAATTTCACCGGCGAGCATCGCACGCACACCTGTCCTCTCCCAGATTTCCCAGGCATCTGGGACCTCGCAATCAGCCTATCAGAACTTGGCAATTACGCAGTCGCCAAGTTTTGCATGTTTATTCAGTGACGCTCGAGCCGAGCAACGCGGAGCAAACGAGTTTCAGCCTGGGCGAGAATGTTTGCCATCGTGTTCCTCCAGTTCCTTGGATAGAACACGCCCACGAGAAATGGTTCTGTTAATGCAAGTTTAAACAAGATTTTCAAAATTTCCATTAGTTCGCTCCTCTCTATCTCGCGCTGGTTTTAATCGTTCAACCATGAGAGCGCTACAAAATTTCACAGTTATAACGCGAGCTTGGAAAATATATGAAAAATGCATAACGGCTTACTTGTTTACCGCAGGCGGAAGGAGATCGTAATTTAAACGCATTTGCATAAATTATTATCGGAATTGCATTCCACCGAATCGCCGACTGTTCCAGTTTAAGATTTATAAACGCCTCATAATCGTTTCGATCTGTTTTTTTTTTGTACGTCCGCGAAAATTCTTCGTCGGCGATTGATCGGTGTCGCACGGTGGGGTCACGCGAGTCGTTTTACGGCCGACAATGAGGGACATCGATCGCGGCTGACAAATTTCTGTCGATGTAAATTACGCGAATTCCAGCCGACGCGGCGTCCAGGGGCCGAATTCTTAGGAAGCTCCAACCGGACGAAAACCAAGCGGAAATTGCATTTCTATCCGTCGCATAAAATAGTTTGTGGACGGCGTTTAACAAAGAGAAAAGCTAGGAACGGACGGTAGTCAAAGTATCGTTGGTAAATATCGGGAAAGTAGCGACGTAAAAAAGTTATTTGCACGATGCGCCTCTCTTTCGTCTCGCCGCTCTCGAAGACGCTTTGACCTTTGATTAAAACGATCCGTTTCGGACCGAGATCAACGGTTTAGGCAACTCGTCCAATGGAAACGATCTAGCTTTGCTAAAAAAAACTTATTTTCCTGCTTTCAAATGGGGATGAGCTTCTCATTGAGAGATCCTCCACTTTATATAAATCGTTCACCGATAAACTGCACATTTTTTCAAATCGGCCTGAATGTATGAAATATCTCGTATTATGCAAATTGTACGCCAAATGACGTAGAATGTACATTTATTTATTTTTTCTAAGACGTCCTGTGACTCAGGAATTATTTTGAATCTTTTCATATGACAGATGTGATTTCTTAAAACTAGATATAAGATAAAGATGAGCAATATTGTAATTCCAATACCATGGAAAGTATGCAATAGAAATCGACAGTATAGTTATAAATACCTGATCGATTTGATTTTGAGATATAACCACCGGACGCAATATCCGGCGATGAAAATTGGTGTAGAAGTATTATCGGAGATTCTTGTAACCAAAGGTTGAATCCCAAAGCCGGTCGATCCTTGATCATCCGCAGGCTGACTCTGAGGAATCCGAGAATTTCCGATATTAATTTATCAGAGATGCGTCGCGCGGGAAGCACGGGTATCGGACAAAGCATTCTACACGGGACTACGCGAGATAGCAATAACAAGAAGCCGTAGGAATGGGTGCGTGGCGTATCTTACTGTCCGATAAGAACTGTTCGGTTTTTGTTCCAGGCGAACGACCGGAGGCGATGCAGACCGGAACGGCGGGACCTATTTTATCCTCGAGCTGTCTTTTGGTGTCTCTCATCATTTTGTACATATCCTCGGTGTAAACGAAATACGAGCGTCGCCACGATGCTGCTTACAGGTTATGTCGGGGTACGGTAAGATCGAACGCGTTGTCTCGTTAATCCACCGGTTACTGTCGACGAACGCGTGGCCGGCACCGAATCGATTCGACGACTCTGACACACTTTTTTACTTCCACGCTCGTATGTTTGTACCTGTTAATGAGCTCTACTCGCACTAATTCCGGTCTGTAATTAAACCACCATATGTACCAGCGGGCAAGACCTTCCCGAGATGAGGACGTTCGCGTTTCCTCTCGTCGGTCCCCGCGGCGAACGACTCGCACCCGCCAAGCGAGCGCTTAGAAAATTTTGTACGTCGTTCGATGAAGGGGACAGTCGACGCTAATACCGCGAGCCGTGGACGACGGGAAAGACTGATTTCATTCACGGGATTCGATGATCCTTGCCGATTTACGAGCAGCGTAAAACAACCGTCTATGGTTTACTGCCGGTCTCGAGATGCAGGACGCGCGAGACACCATTCACCGACGAATAAAACGTGACTCGATTGCGGTTGCCCTCCATCTGCCGGCGATCCTATCGGAGATGGGCGGGCAAGATTTCCAACGCGAAGAAAGTATTTACGCGCGGGATCAGACGGGCTCGAATTACCTCACGGCTCCGATCGAAAACCGACGTTAAATCCGTGAAATATCGTCGTTCCGTGCGGGCAGGTATGTACGTAACGCGCGACGAATGTTAATATTTCGGGGCGAGCGCATTGTTCACGGGGACGTACGTCATTGTCGCGCGGAAATCACTTCCGGCCGATTAACGGTCAGAAACGCGGGCAGTTGCGTGATTGAAAACAATTGCGGGAAATTATTATTGCCGAATGATCCGGCTTACGGGAATTACAGTTTTCGGATGTTCGGCACGGCCTCGTTAAGCTTCAATCCGATCGCTCGAATCCGTGGACAGCGAGAGGCACGTGTAAGAGTTCGGAGAGTGAGCTGCTGTGTTCAGGATGCAATTGTTTACTGTGTTAGACGAAAAGAAGGAAAAGTGAGGTTACGTGTTGGAAACGCGTCGTGACGGACGACGCGACGCGAGCAAATCTGTTTGTAGTACGCTGAACGGGTATTAGCGTCGACTCGGATACACGAGAGGGCCTGTACATAGCGTCTGTATTATAAATTCTGGCTGGATGATGATAGTTACAACGCCGACGACGCGAGCGTAAACTCGTGGACGCGCGCGGCGACGCGACAACTCTCTCACTCTCACTTGAACACACCGGCGTGTGCGGTGGATCTAGTAATCGCGTTTATCGCGTGGAAATCAAGTTTCGCGGCCGGAGTGGTTCCGAGCGAACGACCCCAGCCAGCAGCGGCGGCGAGCGGAACGCCTCCGCCCCGGATCATCGTTTGACACGGTTATCGGAATTTTATTCACGAGGAACGAGAATTATCATAAGCAATAAATTGAATCGTAAAGCTGATCGATGATCTCGCGCCCATTCTACCATCCTCGACGCGCCTCCTTCCGCGCGAGGCGTTTAAGGGATTTTCAGCCACGGACCTTTTTACTACTTTGTACATTTTTCCTTCCTTTCAAAAAGCTTCCTGCGAAAGTGCGCCGTGTAACGGCGAAGGCGGGGGTCGTTGCCGTCTCGTTCGGGTCCGGAAACCACTCCGGTCTCGCGGCGCGGCGCGACGACGGTTTTCACTTTCTATTTGTGTGTGTTTCGATGTGATATCCTCGCAGATACCCCGTACGAAAGTATCGCGCGGGATCGTTCTCGCGCTCAAAATCGAATCTCACTTTTGTGTTCCTAACCTCGGTGGCGGTTCTTTCCACCGACTTTGGATTACGTGCATACGAACAGTCGGGGCAAGTTGAAAGGAGCCGAGGACGACGCGAGGAGCGCCGGGGCGGCGGCCAACGGAGCCAGTCATTGTTCCGGAAGTTTTTCGAAGGTAAAACAAAAGTTCGATACACGTGCGCTCGTCGAAACGAAACGTGGACACGCTTGCGCGAACTCCGGAGAATAATTACGAGGGCCATACGGTAGGGTTGGGGAAAGTGCAAACTTTTCGAATTTTTCTTTCGGAAACGGGGAAACTACGTGTAACGGATTGGACGCGGTCCATTAATCGGGATCGTTGATCCAATTTCTGCTCTCGATACGCGTTCTCTGTACGTTCTTCGGTTCAGATTATTTCTGACGTAGAATCCGGTACAAAAGGGACGTATATTTAAGGCTGTATTGGCTATACAGTCGATCCCAATAGTTTATGTACCTTAGAAAAACGCATTTCCTATTATTAAAAAGAAATCAGACATCGGAAGAATATTTCTACTAATAGATAGCTGGCACGTGCTAAAAAGTATAGAAGGAAATATCCAATTAATTATTGACGCCGGCAAAAAAATTTTTATACTGAAATTGTGGGCACTGACGTTTTCTAAGAGAAAGATTTTATGAATTTTTCTTCTAATTTCGATATTTAACGAATTAAGTATGATTATATGGCATTTTATTGACATTGACGAAATCCGACCATATCACCGTCGAAACAGCGAACTTTTGACAAAAATTTTCGTTTTTCCTCAATAACTCCTAAACCATTGGAGATACGGGAAAATTGCATAGAACCTTTCTTGTAGAGCACGACGAGATCTACAATTTCCGTATAAAAGTTTGTTTCTAGCATCAATAGTTTACGAGTTATTAACGAAAAACGAAAAAACAGTTTTTTGCAATTTACTCGTAAACTATTGGTGCTAGCGAAGAATTTTTTCCTGGAACTTGTAGATCTCGTCGTCCTCTACAAAATGGTTCTAAAATTATCCTCCTAAGTCCATCCGTTTGGGAGTTATTGACAAA